ATGTAGAGAAACTTGAAGAATATCAACAAATGGGGACCATAACTATATAAAATAATAGTAGTAACTCAATGGTCACTATCTTTTAATTGCTTTAAATTAGCCCCTCATCAATTTAAAATAACACTTCGGTCTCTACACTATAATTCCATGAATTCTAATACCCATTAGTCACAATACATTTTTATCGGATCACTTTAATTGACCAATATCTTTTAAACAATAGCACTACACATTTCAATATACAACGTGTGACCCCATATATGTTGAAATTATCCAACATTCTATTCTCTGCTTCTATTTCTTCAGTTTTTCTTGCTTTGTTTGATTTGCACTTCATCTACGTCTGTATTATGGGCCTCATCTTTACAATCATCATTTTATCTTACTCACATTTCTGTTTTCCTCGTCCTTTTTCCTCTTTCCATTCTTCTCCGGCTTAACATTCCCATTTTCAACTACCTCGGACTTATCTGTCGGGCATTGATAAGTGTGCAAATCAAGTTTCTAAACATGTTTAGGTCTTGTATGGGAGGGATTAAAATCAGATTAAAATTGAAAATATAGCCGTTATTGTTGACTTTTATTAGACGAGTGAGACCTAATAACGACCATATTTTCAATTTTAATTGACTTTTAATCCCTCCCGAACGAGACCTTAATTATTTCTAATTAAGCTAGTATCTACTAATTTAGTGTAAGTATCTTAATTGTAAGTAAAATCCCGACTTGGATATAATGATCGCGAAGAAAGATTTAATTGTTCTCCTGACACCTTTTCCTTTTCTGCTTCTGCATCTCTGGCATGTGAACTCATGGCTGGCCTATCAGTTATCCTGTTGTATACAAGTCTAAAATATGGCACATTTTAAACAAAATTCACAGCTTCAAAAATCAGTAACTTAACTGGGAGAATATAAAATGGATTAATATCATAATAATAATAATAATAATAATAATAATAATAATAATAATAAGTGGAAATTTTTGACAGAAATAAATACGAAGACCATGAAAAATAGAAGAAGCTGCATATAAAAGTGAGATTACAAGTACTAAGCTCGTCTGCTAACTAGGAAAAGAAAAGGGTTCATTGTAATTCTGTTATTTTTATCCACCAGTTTTATGCTTTAAGTTTGTAAAACATTGAAATTATGAATTTTTAGAATGTCTCCATTCTCATACAACGTAGTTTCCATTTGGTACTTACCAAAAAAATTGTTTCCAACAAAATAATTAAAGAAAATCTCTCACACTTCTTACTGTAGAAGGCAAAGCATAATAATCGGAGAACATTTCCAGTATTGAAACAACAGAACTGTTCTCTAGCCCGTCGTGTCCGTGATGTGGCAACACCACATGTCATCATATGGTGGGCAACATAACTTTTGTCCACTATGGATAGGAGATCAATTCTGATTAAAATAATTTTAACCCTTGTTTTCCTCGTTTATAATTGTTAAACTATTTTTGTCCATTTATTTTGTGTACAATTCACTTATCCATCACTCATTTATATATATTATAATTTAAACCAATGAATCTGTCTACAAGTATAAAAAATTTGTACAGAATTAGTACAGAAATTTGAAATCGACAACACAGATTCAAAGTTGGAAAAAAAAACACACACAAATGCACAGCAGCATCCTGTACAAATTCTGTGAGTCATTCCGAAAAAAATAAAACCGGTGTGCTTGGTAAGGTGGATTAGAAGGTATTGAATAATATTAAATAAATAAACAAGCAAATATATTGTCTATTATTCTCTAAATAGTATGATCTAATACTACATAATAAGCACGCAGTCAATGTACTTCATGCCTAAACTAGAAACTATAGAAACATATGTAAGGGGGTTTATGACTGATCATGTAAAACTGGAGAAAGCAATGGCTTATTTGAGAAGAAAGCCTCCAAATTATCAGACATGAGTTCATATAAATCGCCAAAAGATTCCTCGGTGAAGACAGCCGAGTGAGGTGACAATACAACATTCTCTAGTGTAAAAAGCGCTTGAGGAACATGTGGTTCAATTTCAAACACATCCAACCCAGCACCAGCTATCAGTCCTTGCTGCAAACACTGCACCAGCTCCTTCTCATCTATTATAGCCCCACGTGCGATATTCACAATTAATCCTTCCTTTCCGAGCGCCAGCAGAACCTCCCTATTGATGAGATGATGAGTTTGCTTGGTTAAAGCACAGCAGAGTACAAGGACATCAGATACGGCTGCAAGTTCACGGATGTCTGTGTAAAATGGGTAAGGAACAAATGACTTTTTCTCCCTTGAGTGGTATGAAATTATACAGCCAAATGCCTCAAGTCTCCTTGCGATTTCTATGCCAATGCTGCCCAATCCTACAATCCCAACTTTCTTGCCTCCCAACTGAAATCATCAGTCATCATCATGTCAATAAACTAGCAAAGAAATCACGACATTATACTCAGAATTTCACCAAAATATAATGTATTGTTTAATAACTAATACCTATATTTTCTTAAACAATTTGTAGGATGCTCAATTTTTAAAACATTCAATGCTGAAACTTGTAGAATAAAATTTTGGGCTTATTAATGCAACTGAGCAATATCCATAATTTGGATACTCAACGGGGGATGTAGGCGTTAGATCCGGTCCTCAAACCTCCGGGGCTTAGGCTAAATTATATTTTGTGTTCAATTTTAATTTCTGCAACTTTACTTTCCGTTCTGAGATTGATTCTTTTAGATCTTGTTTTTAATATCTTGTGGTTTGGGCCTTTTCAATTTCATTGAACATTTCACTGAAAGATCTCAGTTCAATAACGGTTCCATAAAGAACGGATGTAGCATAGTTAAGTTTGACCTGAGAAGATGATTATATAAAAAACATGCCTCCCAATACAGAGTTTGATTGGACATGCCAGTTCAATATAATGAATAAAATAATGGTACTTCTAGGTAAACATGCACCAGTGAACATATAAATAAGAAGATTAATAATCCTCCAACATCTCGATCCCCTACCACATCTCAGCCAACTGCAGTAAAACACAATGTTTTTCCATAAAATAACAAGAAAATAGACAGTTTTTGAGTTGAGTAAACAAGCCAATGCATTCAAATCTGATGCCAATAACCATGTAAGCATACTAACCTAACTGATTTCATCCTCCGAAAGATAATAGGCAGCAAAAATCACACTAAACTATTGTTGATAATGAGTATAATTAGTTGTATTCCAAAGATGAGATTAGAGTAGGACTATCAAATAAACTTAAGAACAATTATTTGGGAGTGAAGCACTCGTTCTCAATTTAAATAGGAGAAATACTAAAGACAGAGAAGCACAAATTAGACAAGCTTAACACCAACTTCATCTAAAAAAGCTCATAATCCAAGCTGGTTAGTACGTATAATGATGGTGAAGAAAGTAAATGGCAAGTCCCCAGATGATATATCCCATAATATGGTGTAGCAAAACTTGAAATGGTATAACAGACCATCTGCTCCTTAGCTTCATAGATGTCACTTCAAGGTACAACTAGATATGTATACATGTCCCTAACGAGGAGCATACCACATTAAAAGGACCAAAGACTTCAATCTTTTTTGTCGACTAACTGAAGCCTTCCAAGCCCTCAAACCCACCAAATGAAGCTAAATCATGCATGTCTGTGTTTCAGAGTTGCATCTATATGTTCTACGGCTTCGTAGTCACCAACAAGGGTTTGGAATTCAGCCTTCAGAACAAAGCGCTATGATGGATATAACTTCTCCCACTTAGGTAAAAGAATTTTCGAGGGTTGAATTGAAGCATCGCTCCTCTTGAAAGATTTTTAGCCAAGTATGCTGAAAAGTATTTGCCTTCCTCGTTATAGTTCTCCAGGGTTATACAAAAAGATCCTTAATAGACTAGTGGCAAAAGCTTTTGTGCAGCTTGAGGGCACTAACTTTGTTACCTTTTAAGAATAAAAATTATTATACTAAGAATTTCCTGAATACCTAAATAATACCTTGTATGTTTTTGACACAATACCTAGCATACTTAAGTTTCGTAGTATGCCATGATGCCAAAAAGACAAGACTTCACACTAAGTGTTTCAGAGAAACATAGGTATATGAGTTGAATGAGTATTACCTAAAAGAACAAATGCAGCATTATTAAGTTTTAAACTATTTCACGCTTGCCAAACAAAAAACTTGAAAATATTTGGGCTTTGTTCTTAAATGTTTAATGACATTATTTCCTTTACAGAATGTCTACAATCTGACAGTAACCTCTTTTTCTTCTCCTGGTACACCCATCAACACATTAGCGCCCTTGTGAATGTAGTCGAAAAAATAAGGACCAAATCACAGTAAGCTGACATTTTCAATGATTTGTATCGACTCAGAATTCAAATTACTTACCTTTTTTTTTTCCCTCACAAGCAAAAGCTAAAAGCGTGTAGCCCAACACCCTTGGATAAATACTCTCTCACTAACATGATATAACATTTCTTCAAGATAATGGTACATTAACACCAAAAATGGCATGCATATCTTGGATGGGAACAAACAATAGACATGATGCTAAAAACTTCAATGTTCAAGTATATACTCTCATGTTTAATTACTTATCTCCCATTAAAAATTACTAAGTTCAATTTTTTTAAAAAAAAAAAAAAACTACTAAGTACAAAAATAAAGAAAAATAACAAATATATAAGGAAATAACTTACCTTAAATCCAAGCAAGTAATCTCCTGATTTGGGCCAGAGCCCATTTTTCACAAAACGATTTCCAGCGGAAATTTTCCGCATTACATCGAGTAGCAGCCCGACGGCGAGATCTGCAACGTCTGCAGAGAAGATGGTGGAGGCATTCGCAACAGAAATGTGGCGGCGACGACACTCAGGGAGATCAATATGGTTTAGACCGGCGCTGGTGGTGACTACGAAGCGGAGGGAGGGGAGGCAGTCGAGGATAGCAGCAGACAGCGAGAACGTACCAGAGCACAAAGCAGCCTTTGTGTTCTGGGCATGGGCCAAGAGGAATTCAGACAGGGAGAGTGTCGACTCCCATGGTCTTAAGATTCTAAATTTCAAAGAGAATTCTTTTTCATACCGTTTAAATACAACAGGTGGGCCAAGAACAATGATTTCTGGGATTTGCTGAACATATGGGGCATTGTCTTCAGCCATGAAACAACGGTGGTCGGATTCTATGGCAAGTGCTATGGTAGTCCGAAGAAGTAATGATTAGCAAAATTTACATCAAAACCACTTAATTATGCTCCAAATCTAAAGAGACAGAGATCGAACTTTGGTGAGATGAAAATGGAAAAAATGACTTACTTCCTCAAATGAACAGGATAAGTATACACATATGAGAGAGTAAATAATTGTGCACGTGCATTACATGATAAAAAATAAAATATTTACAACTAATAGGCTCCCCTCAAACTGAACGGTATAAGTTAATTACACCCAGCTTGCTGAGTAGACCAGGAAACATATTTGTGCCAACATGTTTAGTAAAGAAATCACACAAGTGATTGTGGGATTCGAACCTGGGCTCGAATGGTTGTGCTATCAGAATTTAAACAAAGGCGTGTTTTTCTATTGTATACGTTTTATCTTATTTCCATTCATTGAGATGAAGACACGTGGATTTATCCTGACCGTTGGCTGAATATTCTGGAAGACTCTTTATTTGCCTTGGACGATTCATTTGGACGTCTGGAGAAACACACTCTATCTTCTGGTTTTGAGAGAACTATTTAGAGTTTTCTTCTTCGTGATCTCTTTGTTCAAATCTCTGATTTGAGGCTGTAAATCTTCAGGATTTCACTCTTTGATTGTGATATTCTGTGTGAATATATGTGTGAATTAAGGTTCTACTGTGAGTTGTGTATTAGAGAAGTTTTGTAGAGTTTCTTGGTGATTCGTCCTAGATCTGTTGATATATTTGAGAGATAAGTGTTCTGACTTCATCTCTTTGTATTGATTGAACGATTTGTAACATTCGTTGCCAATTTGGGGCTGTATAGTGCAACTGAGTGTTATCCAACTTGTTGGATACTCAACGAGGGATGTAGGCGTTTGATGTGCTCGCCGAACCTCCGGGGCTTAGGCCGAAACAATTCTTGTGTTGATTTTTTAATTTCTGCACTTTATATTTTCTGTTCTTTGGTTTAATATTGTGTGTCATGGCCTTACGATGGTATCAGAGCCTTGACTAAAGAACGTGATACCAGGATCTTCGAGGAAGGTGATAGATCTGCTCCGGATATGAAATTTTTGGAACTGCTTCAAAGCAGATTGGAAAATATTCGAGTTCTTTAAACTAGCTTGGTGAGATCTTTTTTAATTTCTGTAAATTTATTTTTCAGAAATTAGGGTTCCTTGTTCTTCCCTTGATTTATCTTACACTTTAACCCCCTCGAGATTAATTTTTGTCCAAAGACTCCTGTGAGGCCTTAGGAATCTGAGATAAATCAAGAACGGGTGTATACCTGGAGGATCTTGTAGGAGGAACTGTTGGAACAGTGTTGTTTGATCTTTGATATTGTGTTTTCATTGGGTTCTTGATCTTTGTAATCCTGTGAAGTGCATAATATTTTCATAATCTTGATTGTCACTACGTGATAAACTGTGATATTGTATAACATATTTGTGCTCTCATTATTGTTTCTCAGTGAACCTGTGAAAACTGTTTTCCCTTATCTGTGATCCTTGTTTTGTTTAAACATAGCCTCTGCTAAATTTGAAGTAAGTCAATTTGATGGTAAGATTGATTTCAATATGTGGAGTCAAAAAATGAAGACTATCTTGATGCAAATGAAATGTGCTAAGGCTGTAACTGAAAGTTGGCCTGATGATTTACCCATTCCTAAAAGAACTGAACTTGATGAAATTGCTTGGAGTACTATCTTTTTATACTTGTCTGAGAATGTGATAAGAAGTATTGGTGATACAAGGACTGCCTCTGAATTATGGACTAAACTGCATGCTAAGTATGTGACCAAGACCACTCCAAATAAATGTTTTCTGCTAAAACAATTCTTTTCTTTTAAAATGGATCCCTCAGTTGATTTGGATGAAAATTTAAATAGATTTACAAAACTTACCCAAGACTTGGCCAACTGTGATGAAAAACTTTCAAAAGATCAGATGGCTGTAGTCTGTTAAACTCCATTAGTGACAGATATAAGGATATTAAGGTTATTCTAGAGTATGGTAGGGAAGAGCTCACCACAAACATTATAATAGATGCTTTAAGGAATAAGGCTCTAAAGATAAAATCTGAATCTGGAAATAGTCACATTGGAGATAGTTTATGGGTAAAAGGAAAAAGTTTTAGAAAATCAAATTATCATCCTAAACCTTTTACTGAGAATAAAAACGGATTTAATGATAAGCATAAGTCCAAGACTAACGCTAAAAGCAAGAGGTTTTACTACTGTGAAAAGTTGGAACATTTTGCAAAAGATTGTTTCAAAAAGAAAAATGATTTGAAAGATAAGAAGCTTGAGGATGGGAGTAATGCTTTAGTATATCATAAAGTTAAAGTTGAAACTGAAAAGTGCTTAGTCCTTATTAATGTGAAAAGAAAACTGAGTGATGAATGGATCTTAGACTCAGGCTGTTCTTTTCACATGTGCCCAAACAAAAACTGTTTTCTGGATTTTGCTAAAACCACAGGGGATCAGGTCATTATGGGAATTGACGTAACTTGTAAAGTAAAAGGATAGGTACTATAAAATTGTTGTTAGAAAATGATAATGTACTATTTCTTAAGGGAACTATGCATGTCCCTGACTTGAAGAGGAATCTTGTGTCCTTATGTATGTTAGATGACATGGAATTTAACATAAATATGAGTCAAGGATATATTAAAATTCTTAGGGGCAGTGATTTAATCATCAGTTCCCCTAAGAGACATGGCCTTTATTTCTTAAAGGCAAAACCTTTACTTAGCTTGACTGCTTCTACCATATTTGAAAACTTTACACATGCAAAAATGTGGCATGACAGATTTGGTCATATTGATAAGAAAAGTCTGAATTATTTGCAATCAAAAGGAGTTTTTGGAAAATTGAATCTTGGTAATTTTGGATTTTGTGAACAATGTGTTATAGGTAAACAAGTCAAGTTACATTTTTCTACTGGAACCCATAAATCAAATTTTTTTTAGAATATCTGCATGCTGATCTATGGGGGCCTACACATGTATGCACTTTGTCTGGTTATATATATTTCTTGTTGATTGTTGATCATTTTTCAAGAAAAATTTGGGTATGAAACATTTTCTATTTTTAAGGATTGGAAAATTCAAGTTGAAAATCAAACTGATCTTAAAATAAAAAACCTTAAGGACAGACAATGGTTTGGAATTCTGTAATAATGAATTCAATGATTTCTGTAAAGAACATGGTATTTTGAGACATAGAACTGTAGTTTATACCCCTCAACAAAATGGAATTTCTGAGAGAATGAATAGGACCCTATTAAATAAAGTTAGATGCATGTTACTTAGTTCTGGCCTGCCTAAACTGTTTTGGGGTGATGCTGTTAAAACTGTTGCATTTCTTATTAATAGATGTCATAACAAAGCTTTGAATTTTGATATACCTGAATTTGTTTGGTCTAAAAATCCTGTGAATTATTCTTATCTGAAAATATTTGGTTGTGCTGCTTATGCGCATCAAAATGTTGGTAAACTAGAACCTAGAGCACTCAAATGTATTTTCTTAGGATATAATGAAAATGTAAAAGGGTATAGACTTTGGGTTCACTCTAAGAAAGGGTATAGAGTCATTATGAGAAACGATGTTGTCTTTAATGAAACTATTATGCCATGTTTAGAGGGAAAGGAAAGTGCTTTGACTGATAAGGATATTCTTTTTGAGGTGGAGTCTTTTCACATTGAGCAAGATACTCCTGCACCTATAGTAGATGAGACTTGTACTGGTAATGACAATCCCATTTTGGAAACTGCTGTTGATCAAGTGGTTGATCAATCTGATTTGTCTGATTCTTCCCATTTGCCTCTTGATGAATATCAACTTATTAGAGATAGAGAAATGAGACAGGTTAGACCATCTACTAGGTTTGACAATGATGACTTTCTTTCTTTGTTCACTTACCAAGAGCAATTAGAAAATGAACAAACTCTTATTAGGATG